GTTTAGTGGTGTTGATAGAGCTAGGACAAAGATTGGACTCATTGACCTTGAAGATCTCTTCCAACCAAAACTCTTCCATGACTCTACTATAAATTAAAAAGCAATATAGTAAAAAAAAAACAAAATAAAAATAATAATCTCAATTCTAGTAGAATAAGCCAAGAATCAGAGTTCAGTTTTAAAATTCCCCTCCTCTTCTTTGGCTAGAAGTATGCCAACACAAAACCTCTTTACTTAGTAAGATTCACTTCAGGCTCTAAACTTTAGAACCAAGTTTTGAAATAATTTTACCCGCTATGTTAAGCATTTGTTAGCCACAATAAAGCATATCTTCCACCAAAAAGGACACTTTCTGTGCACTCTTATCCAAATTGTGTTCTTGTATAAACTCAGTTTGGAAGACTACTACTTGAACCCAGAGGTGTCACCAAGCCCTATATCTGGGAAAGAATATTCATAAAATTTTTTTTTTACCCGTTGTTAAAATAAGACTCATTGGATTGAGTAAATTAACAAACAAAGCACTGAAACTAAATTCACTAAAGCTAGAAGGGACATACACTCTAAGTATTGAGCAATCAAACCTTGAAACAAACTTAAAGTGGGAAGAGCCCTTAGATCATGATATGACACCTTTCTGGTCTGCCACATCAGTTCAGTTGAAAAAATCCACCTGACATCCCTCCTCCGGCAGTAGTCACTTAGGTCTGTCCGAAAGGTGAAATTCCCCAGAATATTATTCCAGTGTAGGCAGTCAGCTGTTTAATGACTCGAGGGAGAATCTGTACTCAGGCAATAGTGCTTATGGCCATTGTGACCTTAAAGTAGGAAATAACAAAAGTCTAACATTAACATAGATTACAAGAAATTCAACTTCTTAGGTTCCAAAACACTGACGTGTCTAATACATGAGGGAAAAAAAAACGCACACAAAAAAAAAACCCCCACCATTTCAAAATAACAGACCTGACTACAGGTATAGTGAAGGATAAAGACTGTAAGTTCATAACAGGGTCTTGTACTTGAACACATCACAAACACATCACGAATTCCAAAGACTTTGGAACTGTTAAACACACACAAGCCAGGATGCTATTCAAAGAAGATCATTACTTAATACAGTACTTTTAAGTTTGATGATTGGTCTGCAAAGCATCTTGTTTTACATTACCTTGACTGTTTTGTCCATGGAAGCCGAGAGAAGCATGTGACTTTGTTCTCGTACAGGACACCATTGAATTTCATTAACAGGGCCACTGTGTTTGGACATGTAAAATATCAAGTTTCTGGGAACTTCAGTTGTTCTATATTTGGATCCCAAATACGGCTTAATTAATTCAGAGATCTTTCTTGAAGTCTGCTCTCCTGATATGCCTATATTAACATCACCATCTGAGCTATCTCTCTGATCAGATTCTTTTTTTTCAGGCACACTAGAATTTTCTTGGCGTAATCTTTTAGGGATATATGGTCTAATTCCTTTTATGGCAGTAGTACTGTCTTTATGTATTCTCTTCTGGGAAACACCATTTCCAGAGTTTGTTGAAGAGCTGGATGTTTGTTCATAGTTTTTGTATGGCATGCATAATGCAGTATGGCCAGAATATGCTCTCCTACAATAAGGAAATGTCAAAACAGCGTTGTTATTCTGTGTGTAATGTTCAGGAGGATCTCCAGAAACAGCACTTGTGCCAGAACTGTCAGCGTTCTCAGTACACTGCATTTCATATGCAGATTTTGTACCCAAACTACCAGGTGCAAAGTACCGAACACAGTTCACAGAAGAACTTGGATGGCTTGTTTTTCTGCTAGAAGTATTGGGGACTTCAGTCTTTTCAGTTTCTGCCTCAGAGTCTGAATCATCATAAGCAACCAGCGACGAACTCATTATGGCTAGACACAGCAGGCTCCAGAAATCTCAGTGCTGGAATCCTCCAAAATTATAATCTACAATAAAGAAATGATTATTCAGAGCACAATTTATTACAGAGTCTATAATTTAAGTAACGTAAGGTTAATAATATGCTTTTCTTAACAAAAGAGAATCCTAAAACTATTATTTCTGTTTATTAATGGAATTTATTCCTCAATATTAACACATCTGTACATTCAACTACACAGCACCATTTACCTCCAAGGACTTTACACACATTTTTAATGCATTGCCAAGATGCATTTGCATACCACAAAACAATGAAAATTAATATGAAAAGAAAAACAAACTTGCCACATATGTACTGCAAATCCCTCCAACCTTACTTGCAGTAGCACTTCCCCACACACATAGAAGAGGGTAACTAACAATGCAAAGTTTTGGTGTATACATTTACAAGAATATAAATACTGCATTTATTCTGGAGTCAGTCTAAGAGTATTTATTTCTGACATGAAAGAAGTATAAAGGGGTTCAACTAGAAACTAAAAAAATACATTCTTGACCCATTTAGCAGTCTTGAAGTATAAGGAAATTTTCCAACTATATCCACAAAGCAAATTCCACACTGTCTTTAGTTTTACAGAACAGACTTCTGCCAGAATCTACACTGAATCCACTATTTGCACTTACTTACAGAAAAATAAGAACACAGACAAACTGTCTGTGGAAAAAGAAATCTCATGCTGGGGCTATGTATGTAACATGCTGAATAACTCACCACTGTAATAACCCCACCAAGCTTTTCCAATAATTTGGGTAGAGCATCTGGAGCATAGGGCTAACTACATTCAAGAAATTAACGTGTTTGCAAAAATAATCTTTCAACCTCTACTGTTTATAGTCCAAAAAGTACTGCTACTCTTCAGTTGGCAAGATTCATTCAAGGAACATTGTATTTCTGCTTTGTTTTCCTGTACTGTTAGTACTCATTATGATAAAGTGATTTAACCCACAACATCTTCAGATCAGTTGCTGAAATTCTTGGTTTAGGTCTGTAAAGAAACTGCCCTCAAAAGTATCTTGATTAAAACAAAAATGCTGTATGAATGTCAGCATCTACATAAGCATTTGCAGAATTGATGCCACGAATGTAGGTTCTACAAATACTATTGCCAGAATAGTACTCTGGAACTTGGAAAGGTCACTCATTTAATACCAGAATCAGATCTAATTGAATTAAAACAAGCATGTTTTGTTTAACCTCCAGAAGTGGCACATTACAGGCTACAGTCTGTATTCTGTAATGAAATTTCCAAGCACAGATCTAGAAGACAGGTTCCTATTAAGACATACACATTCATCATCACAGATACTTTCCAAGAAAAATGCTCAAAAACAAGGTGACTGGAACAAGATGACCAACATTTAAGCACATAAAAGCATCAAGATCTCCCTCTAGAGGGCATTTTGTCTTTATCTGAAGTTTATGACAGCTGTGACAGCAATAAAAAATTCTTAATAATATAGCTTTATTTTTTAAAAGAACATTTAAATGAAACACTGTCAAGGAAAAAAAATAAGTAACATTTCAGGAAATACTAACAATTCAACTCAAAACCAGTAAATTGAAATTGTTCGGAGTACATTGAAACAGTAACTTTGAAGGAGTGCACTTCAATACTTGCAACAACTGGTTACTGTTTGCATGGCAGTGCTGCAAACGGGCCCCAGCCAAAACACACCGTGTTCAAAGAACAGATACAGTAGGAAGTTCATCTCTGGCTGAAAGCTATTTATAGAGATAGACAGGTAGATTGGGTTAGACTTTCAAAGTTACTTCACTTTGTTTAAACACAAACAAGAAATCAAGCCAAGATTCAGGGGTAAGAGACGCTGCCTTGCACATAGCAAGTGAAAAAAGTTTTCTGTGAGATACGAGAACGAAGCTGTCCCACTGCATTTGGTCAGCACACCACCCACACGCATCAGTATTTTTGTAACAACAAAGCAGCTCCGTTACCTTAAGGCTTCCCATTCCTTAAAGAAACGCCACCCTGACTTTTCTTACGCCATCCTAACGAAGGAAAAATGCGAGCAAAAAAAACCACACTGTGCTCCATTGGAAACGCAGTCTAACTAGACCGGGAATTTATTATTAACGACAGCATTCGCAAGGCACTAAGCTAACAGGGAAGTTGACAGTTTTGGGCTCCTCTCGTTCTCACCATTTACCCGAGCGCGTTAAAGCAAAGAGCGCTCAGTTCAGCGCGCACAGCGCCCCGCACCCGCTGAGCGGCCGCGTGTGCCCACACG